AAAAGAAAAAAGAAGAAGTATAGATTTTTTGTGGATTGAGATATAATTTGTTATAGTTTTAATAATATCTAATATTGTATAATATTTTATAGTTACAACATAAGGTATAGTTATATTATTTAATATATAGTTAGAATGACAAAATATTTTTAAATTTAATTTATTACATACCAATATTCATATTATATTTGAAGAAAAGGCAATAAAAAATCAAAATATTCTTTAAGCAGTATATATATTCCAACAAAATATTCTTTAGTCAACTCCTTTTTTGGTAAATAATTCATATAGCAATAAATATACCTTTCTCAAGCTCTGTAACCCATCCTCAATTGGCAAGAACTCGTTAAACTCAACCACACAGGGAAATGCATTGGTATGCTCTCCCTTGAATTTGTGAGATAGTTTATTCTCACAAGTAATGTTTTGAAAGGGATAGCTTCCATGATACTAACTAGCTTCCTTCCATCTACAAATAACAATCCTCTACTTCTGTTGATGAAGACACTGATTCATGCCCAATAGAGCCACACTTAGTGACCAAATATGAGACCATAGCTTCTGCCTCGCCAACTCTCAAAAAGAGCTTGGTTATACCATTTGGGGTATAAAGTTCATCATTGGCCATGGGTGCATGGCACCATAGCTCCTACCTTTCACACCTAAGACTTGGGTACTGTCATGATGTCACAGCCCATGTTCACAATTGCCACCACCTTTAACTAATCTTGCATCATCAGCCACACTATGATTGTCACTTCCACTTCTATATCTGGCAATGGTAGAAAATAAACAATTGACCTCCACAATGTGTAATTAAAGGTTTTTGACCAAGTTTGCATCTAACCCCTGCCTGAACACAACCTTCAGTCTAAAGACTTAGAATTGGCATGCCTAAGTAACTCCTCATATTCCTTCTTTAGATCAAATAACATTGTGCAATCTTTTTAAATGTGACCCTTCTCACCATAGGTAAAGCATGTTAGTTTGTAAAGCCCCTCATCCTTGTGGTTCCATGTATATGAGTCATCCCTGTAGCAATACTTATCACTACCACTGTGGGATTTCTTTGAGACCAGCCTCCATTTTAGTTATAACTCTCCCCTCTATTGGCCCCATAGACGTCTTCCTACTCAAATTTGGTAGTTTTGAATTATGACTGATTTGAGCAGCCACAATCATCAGCCATCTCCAAGTGTGCAATATGGGCAACTTGCGTCTAAGGCTTCCATTCCTTAAGTGCATCTTCAATTTGTCCACAAGTTTTGATCAAAGATATGCATATTTAGCTCATCTAGAAAACCACAGTAGAAAACTTGCTTAATCTCTCAACTTTATCTATATCAGTGGTGATATAGGCATGGTGCAGTGTTGTCCAATACTGTTGCACAATCTCTCCCTTCATGTACTTTTTTGTCTATATGGTGTCTAACAGCATATATCCTTAGGATCTCCAATAATGAATAATTGATGAACTAGTACAAAAGGCATTGATCCTTTCTCTCTTGGTCACCTGGCAGCACACTCCCATGCCACTATCAAAATTATCACCCAGTTGGTAAGATGGATACTTGATCTTGGTAGGACATGCACTCTCCTCAACAAATAGAGCATATGCTTGAGCTTCTAAAACCTAGTATGTTCAAAAGCATCTCTGGACTCTTGAGTAGGGCCAAAACAACTAATGCAATTGTCATTCCTTGGAGTGGTAAGGCTACTCTTCCCTTATAGATCTCAAATGTCCATGGTGGCATTAGCATGCTCAACTCTAGCATCATATTCATCTCAATGAAAATTGCATGAACTATCCTTTTTAGCATCAATATCACTCAAATCCTTACATATATGCACACTCAAGCATCATAGCTATATGCAATTTGTCTTATCACAACATCACAATCATTCCTCAGTTGTAGTTCTCTACGTAGGCATATTTCACAGTTCACAATCTCAAAGATCTGTAAACATTAAGTTCATACTAGCTTAGTCATAATCTTAAAAGATCTATAAATGCCACATCACTCTTTAGCCATGATTTATCAACTCTCACAATTCTCCAACTCACAATCTCAAAAGATCTGTAAATATCACATCACAACAATCTCAAACAATCTTTAACTTCAAACTTGTTAGCATGAGAAGCAGCCTCTATATCCTTGACAATTGAAATCCACCCAAAAACAAACCATAGATTTAAATGATTCACAATTGAAACAAAGGTGACAATCAAAAAGTTTTGACAGCCCACATAGCCCCACCCTCAACCCTTGCGAATGCTGCTAATCAAGAGTCCCCATCATCTCCGTTTAGGTTTAAGTAAATACAGGGGATGACGTCACCAGCCAACACCCTAACGGATTCAGCTGAAATGATTGTGTATCGAGAAGATCACTCGCTCTAGTTTAACACATTGTGGCCTTAGTACACTTGACCAGTTAGGTTAAACGGGATTGGGATGACGGAGGCACAGGGACACTCGATCTGAGGCTTGATGTTAGATTCCTTGATTGTCATAGTTAGGAGTCATTTCTATCCACAGTCCATTTTTTAATCGCTACAACGTCCGCGTCCACGCAATTGCATCCATGGTACATGTTTACCAGTGCCGTCGCGACGATGGGATCGAGCTCAATTCCCAGCTGCACGGCTTCACTGTGAACAATCTTTCCCTGTTCCAGGCCGCTCGCCCCAACTGAGCCAATCGCGTTGAGAACTCCGGCGAAAGTCGACCTGTTTGGCATCACTCCTTCTCGGGCCATCCTCTGGAACAGGAGGAAGCCATTCTTTGGAACGCCATTCTCGGCGAAAGCAGATATCATCGCGTTCCATACCGCGACTCCAAGATGGTGGTTTTTGCTAAAGACAGCATAGGCCTCTTGCAGAGCTTTGCAGCGGCCATAGGCGCTCAGCAGGAACACGGCGATGGTGGCATCGGTTTCCAGCTCGCATTCAATGATGAAGGAATGGATAAAGGCAACCTGGTCTGCTGAAACAGGAGCTTCTTGCGCTTCCATGCACGCGCTGAGAACCAGGGTGAAGGTGGTCTTGTCCGGCTTCACCCCATCGAGCAGCATTCGCCTAAACAGTCTTCCGACTTTCCTGATCGAACAAACGTCGTTGGAGATCCTTCCAATCCTGTTGCTGTCTGTGACGTCGTTCTTCCCTCCACACAAGGCAAATACCGAGGTCCAAGCCTCCTTGTCTCGGTTGTGATCCATCTTCTCCAGGACTCTCTCTGCGTCTTCCAGCTCTCCACTCAACCGGCAGTAAGCCGCTAGAAGCGCATTTCCCACGACCGAGCTCGAGTCAGCTCCCATCTCAACTGTATAGCCATGAATCTCTTCCAACTCTCTCAAACTCGAGCAAGCTGCGATGGCCTTTACGACCAGAGCCGGACTTCTCCTGTTGAGTTTCACACCCTCGAGCTGCATTCGTCGAAACTGGCCGAATGCCTCCTCCATGCAGCCGCAGTCTAGATATGCTGCAACGATGCTGTTCCAGGAGGATGGATTCGGCTGCTCTATTTTCTCGAAGACGCTCCGAGCATCCTCTAAACACTTGCACTTCCCGTACATCTCCACCACCGTGCATACTACCCTGTTGTGCGATTCCAGGCCCAGCTCTCGGACTATAAGATGGATAAGTCTTCCTTGTCCTGGCAGCCTCAAACTTCCACAGGCACGTAGAGCACTCACGCAAGCGCCTCTGCCAGGAGAGATTCCTTCCAGGAGCATCTTTCGAAAGGAGATCAAAGCTTCTTCATTCCGCCCGTGCTTCACGTACGCGGCAAGCAAAGTCCTCCACGAGACCATGCTCGGCCGCTCCACCCTTTGAAACATCCATTCGGCGTCCTCCAAGCTCCCACACTTGCTGTACATGTAAATGAGAGCGTTAGCAACATCAATATCCTTCTCGAGATCATGGTTGATGACACTTACGTGAATCCCCTTGCCGTGCTCGAGATCCACCGGCCGGATGCAAGCCCCAAGCGCCACGAGAACAGTTTCTCGATCCGGAGCAACACCATCCTCTTGCATCCTCCTAAACAGCAGCAGTGCGTTCCAAAACTCGCCATTCTCCGTGTGAGCCGCGAGGAGCGCGTTGTATACTTCCAAGTCCGGCTGATGGATCCTCCTGAAAACTCTGCGAGCCTTCTTCAAGTCGCCACACTTCCCAAACATGGTGATGAGAGCAGCCGCCATGGAAAGCTCCGACTCTAGCTTCATCTCAGTGATGTGCCGATGAATCCATCTTCCTCGATCCCAGTCCCTCTCCTCGGCTAGCGCGTTGAGCAGTGCTAGAAAAGTGACCAAAACCGGAAGAAAACCTTCCAGGAGCATCCCCCTATACGTAAGAAAGGCCTTCTCCAAATGCCCATACTGGGCAAATGCTGCTATTATTGCTGTCCAGGCCACCACATCTCTCTTCTTCATCCCTTGGAACACACGAATTGCGCCTCGCAAGCTGCCACACGCGGCATACATGTCAATCAGCGCAGTAGACACGATCAAGCTCGAATCCCAGCCAGCAGCAACGATTTGGGAGTGGATTTGCTTACCCACTGGAAGAAATCGCGATCCACAGCACGCTCCAAGGGCCGCGACGTACGTGATCCTGCCCGGAGTGACGCCCTGGAGCAGCAATCTCCGGAATGTCGCGATCGCCTCCTCCAATTCGTGGCGCTGGGCGTGGCCGGCGATGATCCGGTTCCAGGAGAGGATCCCTGGGTCCGGCATTCGCTGGAAGACGCTCTTGGCGGTCTCGAAGCTGCCGCATTTCACGTACATGTAGACAACGTGATCGGCGATGGTGGGATCTCTGTCCAGGCCCCTGGAAACGATGCGATCGTGGATCAAGATGCCTGCCTGGAGATCCTTGGAGTTTGCGTACGCGCGGAGGAGATGGATGTAGGCAGCGGTGGCGGTGTCCATTTCCCCGCTTCTTGCCGCGCGCGCTCGCGGGAATTTGGCGCTCTGGGCCGCCATAGCTAGGGTTCTTGAGCTAGGGTTTAGGGGTTTTGTTTTCGATGGATGCTGGGGAGCGCCAAGTCCAGGTGCGCTTCACGACGCGGCTGGGGAGCGATCTTCGCGTGGAAGCCACCGCATTCTCGCTACCCGTGCATCTCAATCGCTACGGCCTCTCGCAGATCATCAACACGCTCCTCGCGCTAGGTCTGGCTGGGATTTTTCCGAGATCTAGCGTGTGATTCTCCTTCTTTCCTCGCAGATAGCCCTCGGCCTTTCGATTTCCTCTTCGATGGAGAGCTCATTCGTACCACTCTCGAGCAACTCTACTTGTCAAAGAATCTTTCGGCTGTAAGTGTTTCTTTTTCTTCTTTGGTTCTAGCTTGTGGTTTTTCTTTTTTCAGGAGAGCATTCTTGTTCTTGAGTACATTCTAGCAGTTGGACCGCCGGAGCTCCAATCTTCGCAGCCCGAGAAGGATTGGGTCAGTGCTGTGAATGGTGTGAATCCCAGGTGGGCTTAGCGCGTCTAGAGTTTTTGTTTTTCCATTGGCGATGATTACTAGAGGAAGGCCACGCAGAGACGCCGCGAATGGTTTTTTGCTGGGTGATTCAGTGCGTGACATTAGCACTTGATATGAGCCAATGTATTTGTTGCAAGGCTTTGTTTCTAACTAGAGGGTTTTGGCAGTTTGATTCTTTCCGGGTCTTACGACTCATTTGCCAGGTCTGGATAGCTTTACTCATTATTTTCTTCATCTGAATTGTCGTTCTTTCATGCAGAGCCTGGTTTCCGGATGGGACTTGTGGTTCAGTTCTTAAGGGACACAGTGATGCGATCACGTCCATTGCTGTAGCTGGTATTCTTGAAGCAAATCATTTTGCGGATTGACCTGTTTCGTTTGGTTTCTCAGGTTCGTCGAATGATACTGATCTCGATGTTATTACTTCTTCTAAAGATAAAACCTTACGGCTTTGGAAGGTTGGTAGTTTTGATCGTGTTTCGATCATTGTTAGAAATAACTCGTTGGTTCGAATGTAGGTGCCTTTAAAACCATCTTCAAGCACTCTAAGTTCAGTCAGGATTTTTAAAGGCCATGCTGCATCGGTGCAATGTGTTGCTGCAAGCCCCTCGAACACCCAGGTGTGTGTCACCTTTTGTATATGGAAACACTCAAACCACCACAGGTTTGCTCAGGCTCATGGGATTCGACAATCAAGCTATGGAAGATCGACTCGGAAGATGAAGACAACGAAGACGAACAGGCACTCAAGAAGCGGAAACTAGATGGAGCAAAGCAATCGATTGCGCAGGTGAGCATCCGTTCATAATTTGGAAATGAGAGTACTTCCGTTTTTGCAGGTGACAGCCTTTACTACTCACAAAGAACACACTCAGTGTGTCGCGGCACTAGAATGGCCCGAGGACAGATACATATTCTCTGCGTCTTGGGATCATTCTTTCAGGCAATGGGACGTTGAAACAAGCATCAACACACTGACAATGGTAAATTTCTTTCCTTCTTTCTTTTCCCCCGATTCAATCAGACTGACAAGTTTTGGTCAGACGTGCAGCAAAGCCTTACACTGCCTGAGCGTCGGAGGTGAAGGATCGTCGCTCGTAGCTACTGGTGGCGCAGACCCGGTGCTTCGTATTTGGGACACTCGAATGCCAGGTAAAGCATGCATAGCTCTTCGTCACTAATCAGCAGTTTAAACAGGTACGGTGGTACCGGTTTTGCAGTTGACGTCCCACACATCGTGGATCAGTGCTTGTAAATGGTAACTAAAGATCTCATAGATCGTGTTAGAAAATAACCAACATATCTCTCAACAGGCATCGCCAGTCGCCCAAGCATCTATTAACCTCGTCCTACGATGGCACTGTCAAGATGTGGGATATAAGAAGTAAAGTTCCGCTTCAAACTGTAGAGGCGCACAAAGACAAGGTTCGTTTGTTGCGAGCAAGTGCTCAAACAATTTACATTCTCGTTTTGTTGTAGGTCCTTTGTGCGGATTGGTGGCGGGAGGACACAGTAGTCACTGGTGGCGCCGATTGCGAGTTTAAGCTATTCAAATACACACCGATCGAATGGCTATGAGAGAACACTCTCCTGCGAGCACAGAGAGTAAGCGTGTCATCTCAAATCATTCGATCATCGGTGACTTCGAAGTGTACCTTGAGAATTTTTGGAAGTCAAGTTTAGAATGCTTGTTAGTTCCTCCAGGTGAGAGAATAAGATCAGGAACCATTTCGCTCACGAGTGCTTCGTTTGTCCGGATCGTTTCACCAGTGCCGTGTTTCTTGAGTGTCAGCGCCCTCGTCAAATCCATCCGATGGCCCCATTACTTGAAACACCATCTGTTTGTCATACTTCGCCTTCCTTCTCGCATCAAACTCCTCCCAGCCATCAATCTGAGTTGCGGTTTGCAATGTAAGCATTCAAGAAAAAAATTCAGGAACAAGTATACTTCTCTCAGAGCTTCGATGGTGATGGGATTCCCGTGCAAATCAAGCGAGTTGAGTTCACCACACCCCTTGAGAATGCTCGCTGGAAACTCCTTCAGAGCGTTGTTTGCAACGAGTAAGGACTGAAATAATTCGAGTGAGATTTCCTTGGCTCGAGACTTGAATCTACCTTGAGTTTTCGTAGCTCGCTAATCGATGGTGGTACAAGAGTCAGGAAATTCGAAGAGAGATTGAGCTGTTTCCTGTCATAAGTTATCCAGAGAAAAAGAAAGGCAGAAAAGGAAATGCAGACATTCGTAAGAGCAGAACAGTGTCCAATAGACGATGGAATTTCACGTAGGCTGCAAGCAACAAAGTAGCAAAACGTTGTTACTGTAAATCCATGCGTTTCCAACGCACCTGTTATTGCTCAAGTTCAGCCTTTCCAATCGAGACAGCATGCCGATCTCGTCTGGCAGCGTTGTGAGTTTGTTCCTGGAAACGTTTAGCAGCCTGAGAGATGAAAGCCCTTGAATCTCACAAGGCAAGCTGGTCAAGCTGCACAAGAACCAGTGACAAACAAAATGAAATCACTGAAGAAGCTGCTCGTACCAGTTGGCCGTGAGTTCAAGAAGCTCAAGGCTCTGTAGTGAGCACAAGCTTTTCCAGTGAATGCTAGTATCATCGAGGCTGTTACCCGACAAAGACAATCTCTACACCCACAGCGAAAAAAGAAAAAGTTCCAAGGAAAAAAGGAACCGGAAAATGAAAAACTCACCTTTAGTTTTGACAAACATGAAAGTTCGGCCGGCACCGTTCTTAGCATTGTGCTCGTCAAGTCCAAAATTATTATCGACTGGCCGAGAGCCCACACAGTGGCTGGAATTTCCTGTGGAACTTTGCTAGAACCAAATCAAAGACAGAGAGAACATCTCTTCACGTACCAGCACTTCAGTGTCTCGTAATGAGACATACCCAGTCGATTTCCAAACTTCAACTCTTTCGGGTGGTTTGATCTTTGTGGCCGGTTTCTCCGCTGGCTTCGACTTGAGCAAAACGCTAGGCTTCTTCATCTCAGGAGCTGACTGTAGAAATTTTTAGAAAAGAGCAAAGAACAAAGAGTCCGAAAGGACGGCATTTTTACCCCTTGATGTGTTCCTTGCGTGGCCATCATCATAATCTTGGAGCCGCTGGCGAGCGTCATGTCTGGAGTCAAGATCTTCCCTGGAATAACACGATGTGCGCAAAATTGAAGCACAAAAAGAACGAAGAATCGAAGTATACCTTTGTGGATGAGCTTCTGTCCGCGAGGGAGCACATTGGTCAGAGCTTGGAGCCGCTCCATAAGATCGCTCACTCGCGCCGACGATGGTAGTGAAATGTCGAGCGTTTGCTGCCCATGCCTGACGCTCACTCGCAGCTCCGCTTCCATTGTCACACTCAAAAGCCCTATAATTCAATGCGACCTCTTAGCGACAAATGTTAATCCTGGTTAATTCATTCTACACGTAATGGGCATTTGGTCTAGTGGTATGATTCTCGCTTAGGGTGCGAGAGGTCCCGAGTTCAATTCTCGGAATGCCCCCGTTCCCTTTAAATTAACATTTTGGCAAACCATATTTATACTATTTACTATTACGTAGAAAGCACATTTTCTCTTTTCTCATTTCCTGAAGTTCGCAGAGGTTTTATAGGTTCGTCCCGGGTTGGAAAATCTGAGTGGGACAATTTTTTTCAAGTAGCCCACCTTGGGAGAGTGGCGTGCATCAGTGGGAAGTTCTTGGAGTTGAGGAATCCAGTGAGAAACATAGCTCCCATCGGGATCATAAGTTTGAGCCTGTTTTCCATTGTTTTTGAGAATGTAAATTGAAAGAGTGAATACCTGTTTGGGAATGCTGAAGTAGCGATCTTCTCGTGGATCATTCCCAACCCCTGCAGCAAAAACTCGGCGTGTCAAGCTTCTTCAACTTGAACGTAAAAATGTAGTTACCAGCTCCATACGTCCAGTTTCCATAGTTAGAGCATGGATCGTAATCCAGCAGACAGGATTCAAACCACTCGGCTCCCATGCGCCAATCAATCCCCATATCACGGACTAAAAACGAGCAAACAATCTGGAAAGTTGATTTGTTAGACTCCTTAAGGAAATTATGTTCTTCTGTTTTCCAAACCTGACGACCACGATTCGACATAAAACCTGTAGCATACAGCTCCCTCATGTTTGCATCAATCAGAGGGTACCTGTCCATTTGATTCATTAGTAAATTCATTCGCTAGTTTACTCGTTTATACCCCGTGGTTCCTGTACGCCAGGCTTCAAAAAGCGTTTTGTCCTGGCTCCAGGATTTCGTTCTCACTTTACGAGGTCCTTCTGAGGATAAAGTAATGTTAAAACTGGTCTCTGCTATGTGAGACAGGCCTTTACCTAGATGAAATATAGAATTCCCATATTTCATTGACAGAAAGCGAAAATAATCTCTCCAAATCAGCTCAAACAGAACCCTGTCAAAGAAATGTTAGAAACAATTGGACCAAGCTTATAGATAATGCATGAGTACCAGTATGTCGAGTTGTTTGCTGTTCGTTCTTTCTCGTATCTTTTCACCTGAAAGCCAGAGAATTTGACACAAGCATCCTGAAAACTTAATACTTGCCTCTTCGTAGATAAAGCGAGGTGATATGCTACCCGAAGCCAGCCAAGGGGAAAACTTTGTTGAATAATCAGCACCTAGCATCCCATTTCTCGTCTCTTTGTAGTTACGTAAGCAGTTCTAGTGCACAAAACAGTGTAAGATATATTTATTCGAAACAGTAAAGATGACATTGATACCTTAGTCCAGAAGTATTCACAGAGCCTCTGAATGGCTGCTGTTTCCCCACCGGTAAATTGCATTGCCGCAAGTGAGCTCTGATTACATCAAACCGTGTTAGGCCTGGGTAAAACATAGAGCTTCACACCTGTTCTCGCGGTCTCAATCCTAAGTCGCTAAGGTTTGGAACTTTATCAAGGTCCCCAACTTTTTCTCCGAGGCTATCTGGAAGAGGACCAAGTGTTTGGGGCAATTTCAGGCAAGGCCTTACTCGGGACGAGCTTTCAACTGCCTGACGATAAAAAGTCAATTCATAGCGAAGGGGGCCAACTTCTTACCTTGCGAAACTGTGTGTAAACATCTGGTAACCTGGCAGTAGTGAAGGGCAGATCATTCAAATGATACATGGTCGTGCCCCATACGAGTTCAAGCTTTGCTTTCGTGCCAATTGACTTCTTAACAGCTTTTTCCACTTGTAGTTCTTCGCTACACGTTTCTTCTTGTGCATAAATCTGCAAACCAGCAAGGTATAAGTACGAAACACAAACAAAAGAAAAAGAGTGAGTAAAACTTACTTACGGTATGAGCTCCTACAGCCTCCACTAGCAAAGGTAGTATAAACTCTGGATTTCCAGAGCGAATTACCAGGTCCAACCCCCTCTTCTTCAAGTTTTTCTTCAAATCCACCAGACTTTCTAGAAGAAACTGTGCGCGCAGTTCTATATCACGTTTGAAAATCAGTAGAGCTCCAAGTAAAAAGAAATCACAAGCTTACCTCCAGTCTTTGGAAATTTAAAATAGTGAGTCGTCCCAAAGTGCCTTGGATCAACACAATACACCGGAAGCACGGACGAAGAAGACGCCCAAGCCTTGAAGAGCGCCTCATTATCCACGATCCTCAGATCGTTCCTAAACCACATTATCGACACGCCCTTGCCATTCCTGCTCGATCCCGCCGAGCTATACCTCTGAATCATGCTCTCCACCGCATCCGCCATCGCTGCGCAATCCAACAGAGCCACGCTCAGCAATTCCCTGACCTACATTCTACGATATCTACCTCTCGTCGCTACCAATCTCCTCGACACCTTAGGAGCTGCCGCCGAGAGCCTCGAATCACGAAATCCCACACCAATTGCGTAGAAAGTCGAAAAATCCGAGCTGGGAAGAAGCGTTCCCCCTCTCCTGAAGCAGCAGCTAGAAACCACCATAGCCGCCCTAGCGGGCTCTAAGAAAATTTGAATCAAAAGCTCGAGAACACTCGTCCACACACGTGGCAAGCGTCCGAGTAATGCTCGTGGCCACTGTAATCTCCATACACGTGTCATACATTTCTTTGCCCTAACCCTAAATACAACCACCTTTTTTCAACTCATAGGCACTGGTTGCTGGAGGAGAACCACGTCCATGCTATCCCCGTGCTTGTTCCAGAGAGCTTCCACACACCAGTCATGCCCGTCGTCCACGGTTGGCATCCTCACTTCCCGGAGCTCGAGCGCCGCCACTCCGCCGCTACCATCGCCGCCACAATCCTTGGGAAGGCAAGCCCCCGCCATCACCCTCAGCACATTGGACGCGTCCACGTCCACGCACACAGTGATGAGCAGCACGCCCTTGGGCGCCGCTGGTAGCCCCGCGAGCTTGAAGAACCCGAGCAAATGGTTGCTCCTCGCGTTCTTGCTCTCGCCCTCGTACACCACGATCAGTGCGTCCCGCTGGTTGTCGCGGCTGGTCGTCACCACCACGTCCCTCCGGGCCGGGATCATCGAGTTCTTGTGGAGGATGGGCTGGAACTCACCGCCCAAGAGCGCCACTCCCACGCTGGACGCCATAGCCTGGATGGTGAGCAGATCCAAGCTCCCGTTCGGGTCCGTCACCCCAGACATGATCGCGCCCTCCAGCGCCGCCCCGCGCGCCGCCGCCTCGGACGTGTCGATCCCCGAGCTCTGGATCTGGTTGTGCAGCAGCGCCTCCATCTTCCTGGCGCCGAAGATCTTCTCCAGCGCCTCCTTGACCCCGGGGACGCTGGAAGCTCCCCCGACCGCGATCACGTCGGAGATGGCCACCGGCTCCACGTCCGCGTCTCTCAGGCACCCGACCACCAGGCTCGAGCACCGGGCAAACACTCCGGCGTTGAGATCCTCAAACACCTCCCTCGTCACGCTCCTGGAGAAGATCTGCCCGTTGCCAAGCTCCATCTCCACCAGCGCGTCCGGCTCGATCGACAGCGCGTGCATGGCTCTCTCCGCCGCGAATCTCAATCGCCCAGTAGCGATCGCCAACGCCGCCTTGGCGGGGCTGTGCCCGAGCTGCGGGATCATCTCGGAGACGAGATAGCTGACCAAGTTCTGGAGAAGCTCCTCGCCTCCAAACGCCTCCCCAGCGAGGCCCCGGATCTGCGAGACTCCCCCGGCGGTGGCGGTGATGGCGACGTCGCAGTAGCCAGCGCCCATGTTGAAGATCAGCGCGAGCTTCTCGGCGGCGCTGGCCGAGACTGGAGCTGAGATTCCCTGCTGCTGGATCATCTGGGCGTAGACGAGGCCGGCGGCGGTGGGCTCGGGCATAAGCCGCGCAACTTGGAGCCCCGCCATGACGCACGCCCGCTCGATCGTCATGAGCTGGAAGCGCGAGAAGCAAACCGGGACGGTCACCACGGCCGAGCGGACGATCCTCCCAAGGTGGAACTCGGCGATGGCGCGGAGCTCCATGAGCTGCAACGCGAGGATCTCCTCCGGGGTGGTGGATCTCCAGATGTTGTTACTGCCGCGAGCACCAAGGAAGGGCTTGAGTCCGATCCCCAGGCTCTCGATCAGGAATGGGTACTTCTCGCGGCAGCTCTGGACGATCGGATCGGTGTCAGTTCTACCCACCAGTTTCTTGGCGCCAAAGATCGCGCGCCCAGACCAGAGCTCGTCCTCGCTCGCGCCGCCGCCGACCTTGTTGATCCCGGTGGGCGTGTCGCTGAAGAGCACGTAGGCGGGCAAGCTCTTGCGATCCTCCGGGCACTGGAAGACATCCACTCTCCCATTCCTCCACACCGCCACCGCGGAGCTCGAGGTGCCCAGGTCGATGCCGATGGCGGCGCTGGATTCCAGCGTCGGTGGAAGCGCGGTGGAGCCATCGGGAGGCTCGTCGATCATCGGCTCGCCCGTGACAATGTAGCTGGGACTGGATTCGGCAGCCATCTCACTCCTGGAGCGATCTACACTGCCAAGAGGAAGAAATCGCGGCTAAGAAAGCCGCCAAGAACAGCACCAGAGTACCTTCTGGAGTCTTCTTTGCGAAACCCTAGAAATTTTCATACGGTGCTAGCCAAGATGGCGCGATCACATTGCACCACGTGTCGCGCGATAAAAAAAGCTATATTTCGTGTAAAAATACCAATATTTTTGCACTGTCGTCATCCAGCGAAGATCCACTGCATACTTATTTTGACTCTCGCGCTTGTTCTACATCGCGCTTGGCAAAAAAAATCTAAATCCTTTGCCATAGAACAAAAAGTTTCCAGGAAGATGGGAGCTTCGATTCGTGGATTCGTCTTCAAGTTCTTCATGTTCTTGGTGTTCGCTGGCTGGATTCTCGTGTGGATCATGTCTCCAACATCAGCGTTCTTCACCCATTTCTCGGGGCCGATTGCCGAGCGTGTTTCTCTCAAATCCTACGGACAAACTGGTAAGATCTTTCCCTTCTTCGATCAACACTGAGAATTTTATGTTACCCCTTTTCCAGGAGTTTACACGCTCATCTACACAGCTCCGGTTCTCTTCATGGCATTCATCGCAGCGCTCTACCTGAGCCACACCAAGAAGCACACGAACACCAACGAGTTAAGAGAACTTAGTTAAAACTCACCCTTTTCTCATCAATCTTTGTACCATGCCAGGGGATTGAGAAAGTTTCTCAAAGTTAATCCGTGGACTTATCCGGTTTTTCTCCGAGGACCACTGGCACTGATTTCTCTCGCCGAGCTCGCGCTTCTCACAGCTTCCATTGCCTTATACACATGGACTCTTGCAAAGTACATGAAGGGCTCTTTCGATAGGATCAATGTCCCTTTCGACTGGATGGGAAGGCCTATAACACTGGGACCACTGTAAGTGATTGACAAACAAAAAAGAGAAGAAAAAACCATATCACTTTTTTTGCTGGCTTCCAGATGGGAACGAAAGTTCAACATTGTTGGAAAAGTCTTTGGTATGACTGGAGCCGTCCCTTTTGCGTTTCTCTTCTTCCCAGTCGCGCGGCTCTCTTCACTCTTCCGGCTGATAAACATACCATTCGAGCATGCCGTGCGGTACCACATTTGGACGGGGCATATCACGATGTTCCTCTGGACTGTCCATGGCTTGGTTTATATCCTCTACTGGACAATGGCAAACAAATCACAAGAGGTATCAAAGTTTTCGAGAAAAGAGCTTATTTGGTTTCTCTCTTGCAGCTTGTAAGGTGGCACAAGATCGACATAAGTGGGCTTACTGGATTGTTTACTTGGATCGTCGGCCTTCTGATGTGGGGGACTTCTCTAGCTCCAGTCCGGAAGCACAGATTCGAGCTCTTTTACCACACACACCAGCTTTACTTTGTCTTCATCGTTGGCTTTGCTCTTCACCTCGGGGAGGGATGGCTCGCCATTGTTATCGCCGGAGTGTTTCTCTTCTTCATCGATAGACTCTTCCGGTTCTTGCAATCGATGAGGCACGTTGAGGTGGTCTCGGCGAAAGTCATCTCTCCAGAAACTCTGGAGCTCACTCTCGCTAAAGTTCCTGGTGAAAAGCAGATACATTTTTCTGTTCTTCGCTGTTAACTTATGACTTACTTGGACAGATTTGAAGTACCCGGCCGCAAGTGTGATCTTTCTCAACTTGCCAGCCATCTCGAGATTGCAGTGGCATCCTTTCACTGTTACATCATGCTCAACTGTGGACGTGGATCGAATTACTATTTTCGTGAAATGCAGTGGAAGCTGGACCTGCAAACTCAAGTCGCTGCTCGATCAGGAGCGTCTCAACGAGAACTCACACAACTATCCCGTACACTTTGAAGCAGCAGTTGAAGGTCCTCATGGTCACGAGCTGGATCATCTTCATGCGTAAGTTTTTGGGCTCAAAATGCATTAAACCTCACACCTTTGTGCTGCAGATATCCAACTTTGATCTTCGTGGCCGGAGGAAGTGGAGTCGGACCATTCATCTCAATCCTTAAGGACTTGCTCTACAAAGTCCACAACAAGCTCAGGCTTGCACCAAAGAAAATCGTTTTCATTCTGGCAGTCAAGTTCTCCGAGGAGCTCCAGATTCTACATTCCATCTCACCTTCTTCCATCGCTCCCGATTTCTCCGCTGCGGATTTCTTGGAACTTCATGCTTATGTCACTCGTGAGAGCGAAAGTGATCTCGAATCCCCCGTCAAGTTGAACGAGCTCGATCATAAGTCCGTCATCCATTTCGCGGGACGCGCGGCATCGTCTGGAAATCCAAACGCGAAGAAAGTTAGAGCAGTGGCAAAGACATTTGGCTACAAGCTGTATGCAGCAACAATCCTGGCATCGTTCGCAGGATACATGCTCATCGCGGGACTGGTGCACCGCTTCTACATCTATCCGATGGATCACAATACGTACCAAGTTTGCTCGATATCGGGTAGAGGATTTGCGTCGCTTCTGGAGTACGTGGTCGCCATTTGTGCCTTTGGTGGTGGAACTATCCTCCTGTGGAACTGGTCCAAGTCGAGACGAGACTCTAATCTTGTAGACGCGCCAGTGATAGACCCAAGCTCGACGAAAATGAGACCAAGCAAAGTGGTTTATGGAAGACGCCCGGATTTCCAAGGTAAGCAGCTCCTCAAGCAAGGAGAAATTCGATTTGTGATCTAAGTTGCGTTTTTTCGTCACAGAGATCTTCTCTGAGCACGCAAGCAAAAACAAGGAATGCACTGGAGTCTTCGCTTGTGGACCCGAGGGAATGCAAAGGAATGTGGGTTTCCAGTGCCGAGATCACAAGCTCAACTTCCACCCATTAAACTTTGAGCTCTAAACTTTTCTTTTTGGAATAAAAAAGGAACAAAGATGAGTATTGTTTGGAAGCGGGAAGGATCATACCTGTAGCAAATTCTTGCGTGATGCTTTACGCGAGGGATCTCCACATCACGGCGCAATCACAGGCGCAGAAAACAAAAAGATTTGACAACGAACGAACACTTGAAGCTCACTTGGGCAAAATCCACCACTAAAATATACGAGGATTAATCCCTCGAGTTTGCAAAAGGGGAGTTGACAATTTTATGTACTATTTTGCATGAAGCAAGGGTGTACAGCTTTTGCATGACTATAGACTAGACAGAGGCCATTCCTCTCATCCGCAATGGCTTTTCTTCGTGTTGCTGCCAAGGCTTTCATGGCGATTGTCTTTGCAGGATGGATGATGATCTGGATCATGAGGCCAACGAGAACTTGGACAAAAAATTTCTGGAATCCTTGGCATGGCAAACACAGGGACACCGGGCTCTGGCGCTGGAGGAGAGGGAGAAGGCAATAATTTCGAGAATTTCTTACACCAAGGACCTATCAAAGTGTCCGGTGCTTTGCGAAGATCATACTACAAATGGCTTTGCCAGAATATTCTCTTGCCAGATTAATACTGGGCGAGAATTCGCTCCTCGATCCTGGGCGACGCCCTGTTCCTCATGAGGCCAACGAGAACGTGGATTCTGGAATCCTGTTCTTCGCCATGTCTCCTCCAAAGCATATGGCGACACTGGTATATAATCGCGCCAGGAAGTTGATAGCACTGCTCACTGTGATTCTTCCAGGGGCATACACGCTTATTTACTTCTCCCCCATACTCCTGGTGGCGTTCGTTAGAGCCATTTATCTAAGTTACAGCAAGAGAAGCAAGTGAGCTAGAATCTCAAATTCTTCTTTGATAATAATTTAAGCATCCTCTTTTTCTTTCTTTTATGCAGGACCATGAAGCCACTTAAGATAAATCCATGGAACTATCCAGTGTTTGTTAGAGTCCCATTAGCGCTAATCTCATTATCCGAGTTGGCGCTGCTTGGGGCTTTTGTGGCTTTGTTTGCTTGGACGACCGCTAAACACCTCAAGATCTTTCTACAGGATCAATATTCCATTCATGATGCATCCCAGAATGAGCGACCACATGGATCCTTTGTAAGTATTAAGTGTCTCAAAGTCACGAACTCTCAACTGAGATGTACTTTTCTTGATTGAAACAAGAAGGTGGCAGAGGAAGTTTAACATCGTTGGAGGCAGGCTTGGGCCGTCCCGTTTGCATTTCTTTTCTTTCCAGTTGCAAGATTTTCCTCCCTTGTCCAGCTTATCAATGTTGAGCACTCGATCCGCTATCACATTTGGATTGGGCATATTATGATGGTTATATGGTTTATGTCAATTTCTCACAATCCAAAGAGGTAAACCTGTTTTTTACATTTTTTAAACTTTATTCTGTTTTTGGTCCATTTTATTTTGTGGGAGAAGACGAGCATGTTTGCATGGATTGTTGGCCTGATTATTTGGGTCACATCACTCAATCCTGTTCGCAAGCAGAGATTTGAGCTCTTTTATTATACTATCATGGCAAGCCATTTCTCTCCCACACGGAAAAACGAATCCAATCACAAACAAAATGTAGACTGATAGACTATTCAGGCTCTTACAATCCAGAAGGCATGTTGAGGTGGTATCGGCAAGGATGATCTGTAGTGAGACCATAGAGCTGACGTTTGCAAAACTCCCAAGTATTATACTTATCTATTTTTTTAATATCTGTATTAATATTTTTTGTTCTTATTTTTGCAGATATGACGCAGCAAGTGTGATTTTTGTGAACCTCCCTGCGACTTCAAGTCTGCAGTGGCATTCATTTACAGTCACCTCCTGCTCTGGAGTCGAGTTTGACAAGCTCTCGATTTTAGTGAAGTGAAGTGGAAAATGGACATACAAACTCAGGGAGCTCTTCATCCAAGAGGGTTACAGAAGTATTTCCAACGAGAATCCAAGTCCCCACGGGCATAACATTGACTATTTGCATATGTAAGTGTATCAAATATATGACTTTGCTCTTATGATGGGTTACTTTGTTAGATACAAAATGTACTTATTCGTTGCTGGGGGAAGTGGAATAGCTCCTTTTCTATCGATTATCAAGGATCTTCTCCACAAGGTCCAAACAAAGCAGCGCACTCCACTGGAGAAGATTTTTCTTGTGTGGGCGGTGAGGAAGCTGGATGAGCTTGGCATTCTCAAAACAATATTCATACAAACTCTTCAAATTGACATTCAAGCTTATGTTACTCGCCAAGATATAGGAGAGAAGCAACAAGCCCTGGACAATGGGGTCTACAATGAAAAGCTGGACATTGTCAAGTTTGCTGGAAGAGCAACAACAGCATCAGTGTGTGCCGAGCCTTCTCCATCACAAGACATCAGTAAGGTCAAGAAGCAAGTTAGAGGAATCTCGAGAACTCAGGGCTACAGACTATATGCTGCAACGATCTTGGCATCTTTCCTCGGTTACATGCTCCTTGCCGGAGTTATTCATCGCTATTACATCTTTCCACAAGACGAGAAAACCTACAAAGCTTTCTCCAGAGCAGGGAGGGGTTTCAGCTTGCTCATGGAATACGTTGCTGGAGTTGTGTTCTTCGGTGGAGCAACGATTCTCGCTTGGAACTGGTGGAAAGGAAAAGACTTGCACCTTGTAGATGCGCCATATGTGGGTTCCATTTCAACTGAAGTTGGACTCAAGCCAACCAACATTCAGTATGGAAAGCATCCGGAGTTTCAAGGTGAATTGATGAATCAGACTTAAGAGAGGGATTAGGCGTTTGATTCTGTGCAGACATTATTCCAGAGCATTCAAAAGGAAGGAAGGAGTATGTGGGAGTGTTTGCTTGTGGGCCTGAAGGAATGCAAGAAAGTGTGGGAGTCTGTTGTCAAGCTCACAAACTCAACTTTCATCCTCTTAACTTTGAATTGTAACATGTGATTTGGACTAGAAAGATTTTAAGTGTGACTTACAATAAAATTTTGTTTCTTGCATGCAACAGTGTTATTACTATTTAGTATTATTTATTAATCCAATTGATCAATTTATAATTTATACCATCTTACTCTGAAGTGTAATATTTTCATCTATAATATTAAAAGGTACAGGAAGAAAGAAAGAGAGAACTTGATAGGACGAACATCTTGCTGTGCTTAAGATGAAGAGTGCCACTTGCGTTCTTGCTGAGCACTTACAGCCGCTCCTGCAACATCAGGGGTCTCACGACGATAGCTGCTTTCACCAAGAACAGAATTCCAGATAATCTATTCCTCCTGAGGAGTGGTCAGGGTGAGCCTAGAACAGAGAAAGTTTGTTCACAGTGAGGAGCTTGATATTGTGCAGATGTGTACAATTATTTCAGCTGAGTTCGTTAAGGCTTCGTTTCTGGACAAGTCTAATTGGAAAAAACATAAGATCACTCAAAATTTCAGTTCCTTTTGCCTGTGCTTCTCATGTTTCAGCCTTCCTCTTCTCTTGCTCTTTTTGATCGATTTCTTGGGTCTGGATCAAGTGTCCTATGCGACAGGTGATAAAGCACAGCCATTGAATATTCATTTGGGCACCCATGCACTCCACTCTAGTGCTTTGTAAAGAAAAACATTCCAGCAATGATTGTCATTGTTTGAAAATCATAGTGTGAGCAATAATGACATGAGAAGAGGCTTGTACCCTAAAAGTGTGGAGTTCTTATAGAAGCCACTCTTGCCATTGTTGTTGGAGTATAAAGTTTTGTTATTGCAGTAATAGAGACTTGTATTGTTAAAGCTCTAACATGGCTAAGTCCATGATGGGAATGAAAGAGCTTGTGGCTGGTGCCATAATGGCATTAAAGGTTGGCAGTTATGTCCTAGAGATGGCATACACTACTATAGTAAGAGATGGCCCAAGCATCTCTACCACACTAGAAACACTTAACTCATATATTAAATCATTCTCAATCTCCATGGCATGGTTATACACTTGGAATGGCATTGCTTGGCCACTTTTTACTAAATCCCTAGCTAGAGTTTGGTCATATATGTGGAAATAACCAAATTCTCCTCCCTTACCTCCTTCCTTTGACAAATCTTCTAGTATTGTTTAAATCACAGCATGTAATCAAGTTTACATTTGTTGCTGCCCTAGAAGAGGAAAAGCTCACAAAACAGCTCTTGTGAGCCCTTCTCAATTTCAAACACCTTATGAAACAAAAGAAGCAGTATAAGGAAATCTTCATCTATTAAAGCCTGCATTTTCCCTGCCAACAAGCTTGTGAACTCCAAATATTATACCCCATCAATCAAGATATGATTTGATAAAATTGTAATATGGTCTCTAAAAGAAACCCTGAAGTAGGATTAAACATAGGTAGAGCTATAGTACACAGGAGAAAGTGGATTGTTAGTTGCTCCATGTCAAGATCAAAATGCTCACACTTGAAAAATGCAACTAATAAAGAAAACTCATTGATTGAGATGCACTCCTAGAAATCTAGCCCACAACACAAAAATTCGAGTAAAAAATAGGTGAGAAAGCTCCAAACTTCCCATAGATAATGCAAGAAGAGAAATGACACTAGATCTCTTGACATATAGCACCAAAACTCATGAGATAAAACTCTTTTGGAAAGCTAATACCTGCTTTAGCTCTTGGACAAAACAAATCTTACAAAATCCAAGCAAATAAACAGCGAGAAAGTTCTAAATTCCTCATAAACAATACCAAAAAAAATAAAAATGATATGAGATTCAAGATAGGACTCAAGAAGAAGCTCTCCTCAAGTTCTTTCTAGAAAGGAAGAAAAAACACTCAAAGAAATCACAAGACAAAGAGAAAAAACCACTTAAACAATCAAGAAATGACAAAATCTTGCAAGAGAATGGATTGAATAAGCAAAAACTAAAAACCTTGAAAGTAGATTTTTTAAGAGCCAAAAAGATCTGAGAAAATAGTAACTTATAAAGAGCATACACCACTAATGGTCTTGTCTCAAATTTAATTGCATGATTTATAAATTAAACCTTAGT